GGAGAGTCCTAAACCAACATCCACTCTGAGGTTCGCTCTACTCATTGGCATTTTCCAAAGGCCTTGTCAGTCAGAAGAGAACTTTTCATGAATCCACTTTGTGTGGCATTTACATTTGTTTGCAAGGCCTTTTTTTTTCTAAACTAAAACCTTTCTCTTCTTGAATAAGCAGCACATTCATATAGTTTAAAAATCAAAATGACATTAACAAGTATACGTGTCAAGGCTTGCCTCCATTCGAATCACCTCCCACCTCAAACTCAGCATCACTTTGGCGATGACCTTGTCAGTCTCTTCGCCTGCCCTTCCAGTGTTTCTTTATGGAAACGTAAGTGCATTTCTTGTTTTTGCATCCTGCCCTTTTAGTTGAAAGATAGCATAGTGTATACACTGTTTCACTGCTGATTTTTAAAATCTAACAATATATCCAGAAAATTTTCTATATAAGTACATAGAGGGATTTTTGTTTTGCTTTGGTTCTTAAACTGTTGTGTAGTATTCCACTGTGTTGGCCTTCCATAACTTATTTAAACATCCCTTTTACAATGAGCACCTTCCGATATTTTAATCATAAACACTATACATACAAAGAAGTTTGCATTCCCTGGCAGGAGAAACAAGCGTTATCGTATGGAACATTTATAAAATCAATACTTGAAGAGGTAATTTTATCCATACAATGACTGCTTCTAGAAAAGTCTGTATTGATACACGGGGTCTGGCACAAATAATACCTCTTTTTTATTACCAAATTATAAGCATGTAATTCTGTAGCATAACAATATCACACTCAAGCACACCATATGACATTTTAGGTGACGTGTTCAAATTGCTGTCCATCTTGTGTGAGATATTCACGTACCCTGCCAACTACACTCAGGCAGGTGTTACTTCTGCCGGACCCTGTGTTCAGTACCATCAGTGGGATGCTGTGGGGTGGACGCTGCAAAGCAATGCTTTCTTCATAAGCAGAATATGCAATTTGGGCATTAGCAAAGCAGAGGCATACCAAAGTGTCCTTTGAGAAAGAATGTGATATTGCTAAGAAAAAAAAACAAAACAGAACTTTGCTGATTTTACAGAGTAGGTCATGTTTATTTTTAGTAACTTGTAGAGGAATAAAGTTCTGATCTTTTCAGTGATCAGCAAGTATAAAGGTCTTAATTGGGCCTCAGAGCAACTCTGTGAGTTACTGCTAAGTGAGAAAATCGATGCTTGGAATAAATAACTTGACAAATGCTACTTAGCTTGTGAGAGACAAAGCTGCTCGGTGTCAACCAAGAGACTAGCTGAGCTCTGGAAAAACTGCATCCAGTGTTATTAAGCAGGTTAAATAAGGTATGGCAGGTGAAGGCCACTGCAGAGGGGTAGTCACTGAGTTAGCGTCTTACCCGCACTCACATACCAGTTTCAGCTCCTGTTTCCTCAGGTTGCCTGTGCTGTTGGAAACTTCCAGGCATTGGGGCTCTTTGTGGAGGGCAAGGGAACGTGCATTTCTGGCATTTCTGGCACTGGAGTGTTTGGGTGAAGCGTTTCTTAACTACTTCCTATTCAGCATGGAATTGCCCCACAGGGAGTTCACGTTTTGGACTTTTCAGCCTGGCCCCGGTACCGCTTACCAGATTCAATGGTAATTATCATCCTATTTTGCCTAGAGCAAAGGTTGGCTGCTAGGAATGGGTGCTTTAGGGCTGGAGGTTCTTCCTTAAGCCCCAGCTGATCAAGACTGGCAGTGTGATGGGGTTGGTGATCCGCGAGGCTGCCACTAAAACCAAGAACCACTTTAGAGCCAGAAACTAGGAACATTTCTTCTCAGGTTTCTGTAACTTTAACTCTCAGGCAAAAGCGCCCCAGGAAAGAAGCTGTGCCTGGGAGAAAAGAGGTTAAAGGAATAGCCTCATTTTTGGTGATGGAGACATTTGTTCTTAGAAAACAGGAAGAGTGGGGATTCAAGGGAGACCTGCAGTGGGGAAGCGAACTCAGCTTTCCTCTTTCATCACTGGGTCTTGCTTAGAAGTCTGTCTGTAAGAATAACACATAGGAAAGCTGAAAAGTCTTCTCAGTTTAAAAGTGAAAACTCAGATGTTCTGTTCTGGGTAGTTTTCCTTTATCAAATTCAGTAAGTCTTTTAAATCCAGACTCTCAGACATCATTGGAATAAAAGACCCACATCCAAGTAGAGCCTGGGGCACAAAGTGCAATTCTTCAGCCTTTGGATAATGGTTCATGTCTGCCTTCTGCCCCCTGGTCTCCGCCAGCCCATAAGCATGCTCAGGTCCCACCTGGTCTCTTCAGAACCTCTCCCTTCATCCTTGGTCATGCTGACTCCTCACACCAGATCTCTCCTTTTAATCACAAACATCATAAAACATTAGTTCACACTTATTGCCTGAACTTTCACAACACCTGCTGGACAACCTCTTGCTCGCCCATTTTATTGAAATGACCCTCACATACCACCCAAGGCCAAAGCACTTGACACTACTTTGAAACTATTGATGGTTTTTCTTTCCTTTGAAACCCCTTTGCCTTAACAGCACTCTGGCTTTCTGTCCACCTGCTCCTTGGTTCCTTCACAGGTCCTCTCTCTGCTGCGAGTCACCCCCGCTCAACAGCCCCTTTGAGACCTGTGTATTAGCTCTCCCATCACCTTACCCTTACCCTTGACGAGTTCCTCACAGACAAGGCTTTCCCTACTACTTCCCTCTTAGTAACATCCAAAACTTTATCCTCAAAGTTAGCTGGTATCCTGAGTTCAAGTGTATATTTACAACATCTCATATTCTACGTAACTCCGCCGCACTGACATGCTGCAAACGGAATGACCTTGTTCATGAAGCAGTGGTCTCTCCATTTCAAATCTGAACATTACTAGGATCCTGCACATTGAAGCTTACAGTTGTACAGGTTAACACATCCTTATCTGTCATCACTCCTGCCATTAACCTATCATTTGCTGAATTTTGACATTTCCACCTTTCTTAAATCTCCCATTGAATTTTTTAAATACCAGACTTCTTAACTTGAAATTATATAATCAAACCCCAAATGACTCCTCTAGTCTGGCAAATTTGTCTCTTGCTTTCCCACCTCTGTGCCTTTGTACCTATTATTTCCTTCTTGAAGAATGCCCTCAGGACCAGAGTCATCATTTGTGGGGCTTCATGCTTAAGAAAACTGTTCTTTTTCAGAAAGTGGGAAAAAGGTTAAAGGTACTAAAATGAAAGCGTTTCACCTGCTGCGATCTCCTCTGCTCACACACACGTTCTACTGTCCTACCAGACTTGACTTATAAAACACAAGATCAAAGACAAAATTAAGAATACCAAGAGATGGCAGCAGAGCACAAAACTAAGAATGGGCCGTTCTTAGTGACTGCACAGGTCACACACATGCCCACGAATCAGCTCTGTGCTCTCATCTGTCTGGGATTTCCTCTGGCCGCCCTGCCTCCAAAGACGAGTCAAAGGCTGCCCCTGCCAGCCCAGTGATAGAGTCCCTGCTCCCAGCCTCTGCCCTGATGGGCCCCAAAGATGCCTCTAGTGGTTTCCTCCTTGCACTTGGCGGAACTTCTGAGAACATTTTCTTTCTTTTTTTTAATAGATGAATTCTTTTACTTAACCCATAATATCTGTAGACTCTCCTGTAAAAATCCAGCCTAAATTAAATATTATCTCAAGTTGGCATGCAGCTCAGTTCTTTATTTGATAAAACCAGGCCCAAAAGGAAGGTAAGTTTATATATTCCAAACTTAAGCTATGGATTTCTTCTGCAGTAACAGCATTTGCATGTATCGACTCTACCAGGCCCTAGTGTGAAAGGAGGCAGAATTTTTCTTAATAAAATCTCATCACTTGAAGAATATTCTGGTATTTTTTAATGAAAAAGAAAGTAAGCCTTCTGAAGACCTGGGTTTAACTAAAAGATGAGCTGTCTTTTTTCTAGAATATATCTAAGGTTTCATGGGCGAAAATGGTGGAAAAGCAAAAGATCATCGTAATTGGATATCATTTTTAGAAATATTAATATCTCTGTTTTTGAATTCAATCTTTTTTTATATGAGTAGCAACAGAGCATGAGCTCTCTCATAAAGTTAAGAATCCCACAATTAATTTGCTGTTCATTAAACGCTGCAGGCTGTGGACCTGAAACAGCTGCAGCTCCACCATCACTTGGGAACATTTCCTATTTGCTATTAGTCTATTAGTTTATGTTTCTTAAAAGCTAGGGCTAGCTCTTCATTCATCCTGGAATCTATGACTACACATAAAAATTGCTTAATAAATGTTTGCTGAACATAAATAAAGAGACCGAAGAAGAGAAAAGCACTGCAGTTTCAAAGCCACATGCAACCTTTTCTCCAGCTGCTAATGCAAAGTTCTTCCTTTGGCTGGCCAGGGCCTTCTTATTGTCCTTTTCATTTTCTAAATTAGTCTTTACATTGATCTTTCTAAGGGCGTGCCAATTATAAATAAACTTTGGTAATGGATATATATTACAGTTTATAAAAATGTTGGCATTTATTAAATTTCTCAACCATTCAGATATAAGTCTATTTTCAAGCTCTCTTTGGTTAAAGAAACTATTTTGATAAAGAAAGCAGAAATAAGCCTGGAAGTGCTTTTTACCCATTTTTGATTTCAAAAATAATTTAACTCACTGAATGGTAGTGCCTTTCGCAATGACTTCTGGAAACTTCTGTGTAATTAAACAAGGTATCAAAGACTTTCATGAAAATGCTTTGGTACAGAAGTTGAACTTGATAGGAACTGTGAACTGCCTACATTGGCTAAACACATGGATTACCCTAAGAACTATGATCCAATTCATATCCAACCTCCCCCACAAACACAAACATCCCTCTTTTTGAGCATTTTGAGTTGCAAATTGAGAAAGCTCACTTGCACCTGTGAGAGAAGCTACCTTTCAAACACAGGATAAAACAAAATAAATTTAAACAAGAAAACATTAATTAAAAAAAATGCACCACAGACACTGCATCACTAAGAAAGCCAGTAACTTTACTGAATTGTCTGCAAAATACAAATTATACCTTATTTCCATCGGAGAAACTTTGGAAAATTCCCCACTTTTATTCACTACAGACAGCTGAATTAAGTCCCTTGAGATACAGAGATGTGGTTCAACTTAGTTATAACATCTTGTCATCTAGTGGCGACAAAGTCCAGCTTATGCCGCTGTGAGCCTCTATTTGAATATTTGTTGCAAATGCTTGTATGCCCTCATTTACAAGCTATTTTAATTACTGTCATTGAATGGAAACAAATCCCCAGAAAAAGAAGGAAAATGATACAGCAAACCATCTGAAGCAATCCAAGTCCTATGCCTACAGTGACCCAGGTCTACTTGGCTCTGAGAGAACACTGGTACTGCATTCAAACCACAACAAAATCTGCCACTTAGCTGACCTCTCGGAATTAAAATGAGGTATGAATCAATTTGAGGTATGAATAGGGAAGGCAAATGCAATACCCGATTATGAACAGAACCAAAATGGACAAATTTAATGCAGAAGATATGTGGCTTGGATTGCTCCACATCTTTGGTTAAAACATATTTAAGAAAAGCCTTTAATTACATCTGTAGTCTGAAGCAGTCTAACAGACACCAGTATTCCATCAATCTTTAAAAGATCTGTAGTGGCAAGAAATTCACGCCATAAAAGCGATGACATCACAGCAGATGGCACAGACGGGAACAGATGAAGTATGCCATGCTTTAGCAGCAGCCTTTATTGAGGGTTCGAGTGGCTGCTTCTTCTTAAAAGAATTTTTTTTCAAGAAAGAAATACAAGCATTACTCTCTGGAAAAACAAACAAAAGAATAAAGGGAGCAAAACATGCTATTTCTAAATTAAAAGACAAGTGTGTAAGAAAAACAAATACATAGAATTGTGAGAGGGCAGATATTCTTTTAAAAAGTGTATTTGAATTTTTAAAAAAATTCTCACTTTAGGTAACCTTAAAGTGATCTGAGGATGACAGGCATTTTCATATTCATCACTACAAAATGCTAAATTCCACCTTTGGGAAAAAATAAGCCATTTTACTAAAAAACACAATTTTAAAAAAGGTTGAAATGAACAGCCTTCCACGCACCAATGCATACAATATACAGTTGTGCATCTTGCGTGTATTGCATCAGTGTTACCAGTATTTAAGCTTAATATTACCAAAAAATCTTTTAAAATAGGATTAGGTATAACAACACTTGTAGCTGTGTAAAATGCCACTTACGGTTCTTTGACTTGCAATGCAGAATGTCGCCTACCACGTGAGTCTAGGATGGGCTACGTAAAGTACCACCCCCTCAGGGCTCTGCCCTAAACTCCGGATACAAAGGATTTACTGTGATAAAAACCCAAACCACACTAGCTTTGCAAATACAATAAATGGTAAATTACAGATAAGGTATAAGGGTAAAGATAGACAGTAATTGTTTACAGAAAGTGACTCATCACAATCAAAATTGTGCTTCTTCTCATTAAATCATTTTTCAAAATTCTCAGATTATCCCTTCACTATCTTGCCACCACTTTTTGTGAATTCAGTAGTGGGAACAAGAGATGACTGGCACCCATTTTCAAGTGATGCTGTTCTTTCCATGTTCTTATAAAACTATTGTCAGAATTGCTATAAATAGCCAAGGCTTCTGCTGGTACTTCAGCATTAGAAATTCACTTTTTTCTTTGTCGCTGAGGCAAATTGCAGGTAAAAAATTTATATGGCTATTTTTTCATATTTTTTACATAATGACCCTTTCCCACCCACTGATAATTTTCTACTGATATTGATAAAGTGTTTTGCAATGACAAAGAACATCTGTGATATGTTTGCATATTTTATACACATCAAGTTATAAGGATGCATTGTAAGGATGGGATCAAGTTGATGGCGAGAAAAATGATTTTCTTCGTTTTCTTCCCCTATGTGTGAATGTGTGTGCATATTTTCAGGGATGATTTTCTATTTTTCCTTTGCATAAATGTTTTTCTTTCATGTTCGATGGGTACCTTGAGTAGTGAGTTATATGAAATGATTACTAGATTTTTTTGTTTGTTTTTAGTATATAAAACATTAGTACAAGGCAGGTTAGCATCCCATATGGATACCACCAAAGGTGCATTGCGGTCTAATTGTAGATTTCAGATTAAGTTAAGAAAAATATAGCCTAGTTTACTAAGGTCTCTTGGCTTTTGCCACCCAGCGGCAGCCTTTTTCAGTGAGAAACACATAGCAACTGTGCAAGGAAAAAAAGGGGGGGGGTTAAGAAACGTCCTGCATGTGATCTAGCAGTGTCGATCCGACTGCATCTTCTTTGCTGTGTATGTCAATGCATGTGATCGGAGATGAATCGACAGATCTTCACATTCCAAGAGAAGGAAAATCGTTCCTGGGCAGAAATCTTTTTTCAACAACAAATACGAACTTTTTGTTTATGGCACTCACTTTTTAAAGGGTCTGAAAATTAATCCCTTATGGACAAATATTAGACAAGTGTCATCATTACTTCTTAAAAAATTTTAAAAAGGGACATAGAGAGGTTCTTTAATGGGATTTCTTGAAATGGCTATTAAATCTCTTTATTGAAGAAAAAATAGATGACATACATGCTTTATGCAGAAGTGACATTTGGGGGTCCTGACACACTGGGGTCGTTCAACAGTCCTATACCGCTGACAAGGTTGAGGGTCAGTTAAAATAATTAAAACCGGATGGAGAAGCAACTATCCCTTCACCTGCTTCCTTCTTGTCTAGCACCCAATCTTTCACATTTTTCTTCTGTGGGAATTTACAACTTATACACCGAGTAAACATCATATCACTTGTTTCTAGGGCCATATTTGCAGGACATGGGTCCCAACACAGCTTCTCTATTCTGGGCATATTTCTAAAAAAAACATATGAAATTCTGGGCTGAAAACCAATCTGATAATCTAGGATACAGATAAGTTATGGTATGCACTTACTGAATTCCAAGTTGCATGATGAATGGTGAGATCAGATAGGGGCCCGGCATTTGGTAAAAATTCAAAAATAAAAAGGATAAAATAAACTAATTAGTGTATACAATGGATGTCAGTTGACCCAATAGATTGCTACTATATTAAAAACAATTTAGGGTGTTGCAATGTGATATGTTCTAATCCCACAGGTTATCCTTTTGACAGCTGACCTTGAACTTATAAAATGTATGCAGAGTAAAAGAAAACAGAAAGAAAATAGTTACTCAAATGTGCAACTGCACAAATATCCCCCCTCCCGCTATTAAGATAACAAAACTTCTGCTATTACCATAATATTATATATATTAGAAAGCTATACACAAGCATGTTAATTTCACAGATTTTTTTAAAAGATTCTTAATATTTTATATAATTAGAAATACACATTTCAAAAACAAAACTTCTACAAAGAGAAAACAGTTATCTTGGTTAGCAAAGCATGGAGTTCTTCATGGCTTAGGGTAGTGCTTTCTATACAAAAAGTCCTTTTTGGTTTTTACAGGACTGTTTAAAATATTAGCGAAGCTATCAAGGGGGAAAAACACATTTTGGCTTAAGTAAACTACAAAAAGCCACAAATGCTTTGCAAACTCTGTCTTACCTTTTATATGAAAATAAGCAAAATGTAATGTACATATTTTTATACTTTTATTTAATAAGAGATGCAGACCCATAATTCTTTATTTATTTAATTAAATACGTTAGCCCTCAAACTCCACATATTTTTCTAATAGGTATGGTCCTCTTTTAATGGTCATTGATCCTTTTGACTGAGTGCCATACATCAATGATATGCTTGCAGGTTTGTGAGCGTTCTCAGGATGGTAGGTGACTTTAACCAATGGCCACCCTTTGCTGGGTCTGTCCAAAACATCTATACATTTTTCTATATGTTGCATAACAGCTGCTCTCTCTTTCAGTAAAGATCTGCCGCTTTTGGCAAATGTTTCCTTTTGTCTATTTACATGTAAATAACGTTGAACCTGCAACATGACACTATCTATTGTAACATACATTTTGCAAAGGAGCACAACAGTGAAAAGAAGTTAGCCTTAAAATCTATTTTGTACAAGTGTTCTGTTGTACAACTCAAGTCCTAAGCTTATCTCAGCATTTCTGTTTATCTTTATACTGTATCACTGAGGCAATTTAAAAGTACTTTTACAAAACAGAGTACCTGACTTTTTTTTTCCACACACAGCACATATAATGCATATCGACCCCCCTTCCCCATTAAGGTATAGCACACACACACACTGCAAGAAAAAAAAAACTATTAAGTAATAATCTGATCATGTTGCCCATCCTTCAGAGAGTCGCATGCGCTTGACGGAGGGACTTTCCCTTTCGTCCGGCGAAGGTCTGGTGAGTCCAATGGGGGAGTGGAATTCGTTCCGGTGATCCTCTCGGTCGCTCCCGTCATAGGAACTGCTACAGCTGCTCAAGCTGTCAACAGGAGATCTCCCCGCCTCGTGGCGCGTGTGTTGTGGGTATCTCGAAGGGGTGGTGGTACGGTCTCTAGGAGGAGAAACAGGTTCTGACTTGATGTTGAGGCTTTGAGTAGAAGGCAGGGAGAGATTTGAACTCTGAGATAAATGAGTGCTAGTGCAAGCTCTGTAGGAGGAAAGGAAACCCAGTTACAGATGGAGGAGGCCTGGAGCCCCCAGGAACTCACAATTACATAAAACATCAGCTTAAAGACTTGCATAGACACCAGAGTATGGCCAGAGTGGGGAGAAGGTGCTTAGAAGCACAGAGAGGCATTGCCTTCTTAGGGCAATTTAGGACACCTCTGTTGATTTGTCGGGCAGCAATTACACAGTATTTAACTGGCCCAGGCTCATGAATAGCACCTCTGGTCTGACAGGCTTCCTCAATGTATAGGTACCAGTTTGAAAAGGTTGAACCAGACATGCTGAAAAAAGCACTTTTTGTGTCTGTGGAATTTCTCCCTAGACTAGTTCCAAAATTGAATTTAAGATTTAAGATACAGTGTTTAGCTTTTGAATCAGACTTCCTTGATTTACTAATGCCAGTGTTTGAAAATTATTGTAAAGACTTTATTATGGGTATAAATGTTTCTCTCAATTTAATAAGCACTTATACACTAAGTTGCATCATCTTCTAAGAAAGTAAGAACGAGTTCAAATTTCAAGTGAATAGAATCCATAAGAGGCTACCTACAACCATACCTAGTGAAAGGTCGGAGAAGGGAAAGAAGAGGAAGGGGGAGAAGCTGAAAATTATCTGCAGAAATTTTAAGTACTGGCTTAAACCACATTCAGACTTCCTACCTCACTGAAACTGCTAAAATTGTACTGTCTTCATCCTTTCTCAGCTACATGGGATGAAAATGCTGTTTATTTTCCACAATTGACCTCAACTTTCTGAATGTTAGTCTTACTCTGCTAGGGGACTTAGGCTCCACTCCACTTATTTTTAATAGGCATTTACTGGTGAATCTGGATTTGCCCAAGAAAAGTTTGTTGTAAAGAAAGATCTAGTGTCATTTTATTTGGCTTATAGCCCTTAGCCCTTATTCGTTCCGGAAGAGCATAACTTGCTCTTATTCCAAAATGTGGGAGGATTCAGATACTTCCAATTCTGGAGGGAAAAGCATTAAGCCCTGAGGGTAAATTAGCAATCTCAATGACTTCCATCAGGATAAATGATCGTAATGGCACTGATAAAAATTTTAAGAGGATTTCACTGCTCTTATACTCTGATTGTGCTGACAACCACAGCTAGAATCAGCATTACCTGCCTTACTGTCCAGAGAACACAGAAATCTGACTGAGGGAGAGTTCCCGCAAAGAATACTCCACAGACTCACCCAGTTTAAACAAAGGAAGAAAGCAAAGCCTACCCACCCATGTATGTGATTATGTTACCTTCCAATGGGGGGGAATGGATGGCATTAAAATGTCATTACAAGCCATGACAAAAATGGGCATATATTTCAGAGCAAAAGTGGAATTACTCGGGGCTGGCTTTTTGAAAGATGCAATTCAGGCTCAAGTTGTATAGAGATACAAAATTAGTCAGAAATGAGTTTATCTTTGAGTGATGTTTTATACAAAAGCACCACCTACTGGCAAAGAATTACTTTCCTTCTCTTATTAATAGATGAGATAATGTCGAAAATGACATAAAGGGGGATTGTTTGTTTTCCTAACGAACTTTTCTTCCTCTGGTTTTTATGATCTTATAGAATCAAAGCAGTTTTAGCCTTTATGTCAAGATACTTTAGTGAGTATATACATAGTTCTCAATCACCTGTTTATTTTATGGGTTACACACTAATTTTCTAAGAGTTTTAACTAAGTAAAGTTTAAGTCGGTGAGATATTAAATGGGAAGGGAACCTGTATTTCAAAAGGGTCCATAATGGTAGGCTATTTTATCTTGTGTCAACATTACTTAATAATTCATTTTGATGTCAGAGGAAATCAACTTTTGATTTCTGGAAGGAAGAATTTTCCTGGCTCTGGATAAGAAAGACTATTTCACTAAAATTTAATGAAATGTCTCTACTGTGAGTCACACACCGTTTGATAATGGATGTCAACTAGGAGTCTGAAAATAAAGTGGCGTATCAACGAATAGTTTCGTCTGCCCTCTGACATTTAGATTGTATTCATAAGCTGGGGACATGGAAAGCAGAAAGAAATACTTGGTGATTTGGACCAGTAAAAGCAGTTAATCTGGATAAAGCAAGCAAAAAGTAATATAATAAAAAAGCTATTTCTTTTTTTTTAAAGAATTTTTATGTATTTATTTTTACAGAGGGGAAGTGAAGGAGAAAGAGAGGGAGAGAAACATCAGTGTGTGGTTGCCTCATGAATGGCCCCTACTGGGGATCTGGCCCACAATCCAGGCATGTGCCCTGACTGGGAATTGAACAAGTGACCCTTTGGTTTGCAGGCTGGCACTCAATCCACTGAGCCACACCAGCCAGGGCAAAAAGCTATTGCTTTAATACAGTGTTTAGAAGCTGCATTATCTCCCCGTGCCAATTGGCTTGTGCAGGTTTTGTCATATTTCTTCCTCATAAAAGACAAAACACTTACTGTTATCCCTTCCCATGAATAGATAGGCAAGTCCCTAAGTTTATCTTTTGATAGCATTTCATTTTACACTGAAAGCATATATGAAGCATTTTGAGTAGTTCTGGGGACTCTAAATGCACAGTAATAATATATAAGTGATATCTGAGATTCAGCTTCATTATACTGTGGTAGAAGATTCAAAATAGAATGAAATTTAATTGGCTAGCCTCTGTTATCAAGGAAGAAGTTTCTTGAAAAAAAAAAAAGGAGCATTAACAATCACTTAGCTGTATACAGGCTGGGTTCAAATATAAGCAGATTAGTTTACTTGTTCTTGAAAACAAAATTTGTATAGGCACAGATAATTGTGGAATACTTCCTATGAGTAGGTGATAAAGAGGTGAGTGGGGAGGACAGAAGCCAGACATGCAAGGTGCCCCTATCAAGTCCTCTGCAAGTTTTCACCAACTACAGATGCCTTCCAACTGCAGGACACCTACCCTTCTCCATAACTGTTCAAAAATGAAATGTGACTGGATAGTTTTATTCAAATTTCTTACTGCCTCCACCTGGAAATTAGGCTATCAGATAACCTGACCTTTTAAAAGTTTTCTTTACTTGAAGTTACCTCCTTTCAGTGTGTACTGAACACTCACATCAACAAAGATAATGTACAGAAGAGCTTCCAGAAAACTGGCTGCCCTTGTTGTAGGTGATGGGAGGAGAACCCCTGCAAATTTGAGGGTCTTTTTCTCAAATCTAAGTATTCAAATGGCTTTCACTAACCTTTGATGGCAAGGTCCTTCTGCCAGTTGTCTCTGCTTCCTACATCAAATCAGGTTTTTTTTTTTTTTCTTTAAAGATTTTATTTACTTTTAGAGAGGTGGGAAGGGAAGGAGAGAGAGAAAGAAACCTCAATGTGTGAAAGAAACATCACTGATTAGTTGCCTCTTGCACACCCCCAACTGGGGACCTGGCCCACGACCCAGGCACGTGCCTTGACTGGGAATCCAACTGGGGAGCTTTCGGTTCACAGGCTGGTGCTCAATCCACTGAGCCACACCAGTCAGGGCTCAAATCAGTTTGCAATATTTATCTAACTTGCTCACATAAGATCAGACACTAGATAGTGTTAAAAATTTAATTTTGAAGAGTTAAAAATATTTCCATAAACAAAATACAAACAGCTCTTTTGTACTTTACAATTTTGAGAAAAAATCTTGGTGACCATCTTGGGCTGCTGGGAGTATCTACTTCAGAGAGGCTGAAATGCGTTTCACTCTGCTGTGAGCACTGCATCTATCCAAAATAATGTGAGCCCACCACACATGTGTATGAGACAGACCACTTTAGCCAGGGGAAAAAATCAATTTTTACAATTAATTTACACTGTAAGAAACTAAGTCAGCTCAGAAAATTCATTTTTATATAAATATTACAACTTGGGATTAAAGAAACATTTAACATTCAATTGTGTGAGCATGGACAAGTCCGCGTGAAGGATGGTCCTCTTGCAAAGTTACTCTGGGTCCGCATATGTGTGTGTATGGGGCGGGGGGCCTGGGGTTGGGGGCAGGGAGGAAGGACCGAAGAGAAGGAATCATAAATAGGTACGTGGGCCAAAATTAGAAGGATTGGATGTGTATCCCATCCTATCTGAGGGATAAGGGAAGTGATTACGTGCAATAAAAACTCCTAGACCAAATTCAGACTCAAATTATGCACCATGAAAACTGGTGTTGAAACAAATCAGAACTAAACAAAATGCTTCATGATTGTCTGTTGCAACGCAGTTCCTCTCTAGTGGAGTCCTCCCCTTTCTCATTTACTGAAACCTCTACTAAGAGCAGCAGAGAATTAGATTCTTCCCATGAAATAGAAGGTAATTTGAAAACTGTAGCTAAAATACACAAATAGGGGTTTTATATGTAAAATGCAAATTGTCAGATGCTATTAAAAAGAAAAGAAAGCCACGTTCAGAGAAAATATAGCTTTCGACACTGATAATTTCTAAGGAAATCTAGTCCTGTAACAGATGAATTTTCTGAAAAATGAGAAGCAGACAGCAACCTTTCTTTTTGTCAGGAAGCATGCACCCGGTGGATCACCACCGAGCCACAGGGGCGCGATGCCACACGTGTGTCTATTTGAAGACTGCCTGGACGGTAGAATATACTTTGTGACAATCACCTAGAAAAGTGATTGCAATGCATTTCTACCTAGTTAACATTTCTGAGGAAATTTAAATGTTCTAGAAACGCGCTGATGATGATCAATATTTAATATATCTCTAAAGTTAACAAATTTTCAAGAAAGCAGAGCAACACTGTTGTGCAAGTTTATTATTTACACAAAAGCTTAGCTTTCTGACAATAGTCATTAGTGAGCAGGGTGCAGGTAAGCAAACAGTGGGTGGGTGAGGACCCTGTTGCCAGAGTGCTTTGCTTTATGGCAGCCGTCTACAAAAGCTGCTGGGCCAGGGAGGGGCGAGAAGGATGCAGCTGGGACACCAGTCAGTGATTTTTATTCTGCTCAAGTTGTCTTATGCTCATTACCACCTTAGACACGGATGTGGGACTAGTTAACTACTCTAACCAAATGGTCCAGCGGAAGAGTAAAAGTGGGGTAGGCATACAGAATGTTTCCACAATATAAAAACTCGTTTTCTTTAAATATTTCATATCCTTCTAGTATTTTCTTTTGAAGGTCAATTGCAGTTGTAGAATTATTAATGAAACAAAGCATGGTCTTTGATTTGTGTTTTAAACTTTAAAGTAAAACCTATTTGTTTTACAAGGGATGTGAATATGACTTCAAAGCCTTTAAAAGGTTAGAACATTTCCATACTTTAATGACGGGAGTCATTTCTGTGATAAAGGAATTATCTCTAAATTACCACCAGGGGGCAGAAATACACATGTTCTGACCAGAAAAACAAAAAAATTACTTTTATACCCAAATTTAGATAATTAGTATATGGGATGCGCATATACATATATGTGTATGTTAATGAATACAATATCTATAAACATACACTTTGGATAAATTATAAAACCATGAAATCTGTATATCAATGGAACAATCGATCCTATGAGTATTACTGTAACATTAGAATGAACTATGTGGTTTATGCTAAGTGAGAGTTTTCCAGTATCTCAAAAAATTTTAGGAACTTATAACCAAAAACGTTGTCTTATGTCCTACATGGGCTACAAGAAAACTTCACTAAGTAAAAATATGTTATTGATAGAAGTGGGAATGAATATGGTCTAAAACAATAGGGAAATAATTTACATCCTTAGCACAGAGCTCCCCCTCCTCTTAAAGAATAAGTAATATTTAAGCTGCTTAAAAGCTATCGATTGACAATGACTTTCAGATTTCGATAAGGTAGAATTTTATATCCTCTAATGGGACAATGAGAGCACAAGAGAGATTGCCATTTGTCATTTAAAAATGCATTTTAAAAGCGCATTCTAACAGAAATGACACTGCTTACCCCAGCTGACTGAGGGCGGACGGCGGCATGTTATGTAGGTGCTGCTGTTGCCAGCCAGTGACTGAGCCCAGGTGCAGGGCGCTGGCGGTGTTGAAGCCGGACAGAGACGACAGGTCAGCGCTGCTCAGAGAGTACTCTGGGTCACACACAAAACCGTAAGGGAAAACACTTAATCTGGATATTGTTAAATGATGGGGAGAATAAACCTTTTCAATTTTAAAAACATTGTATTTGTATTATTTAATGCTTGCTATATATTTTTTAACTTTTGGGGTGGGGGAAGAAAGAGAAACACAACAGGGACAGTTTTAATTTAAAAGAGCTATTCTATGTACCAAAAAATAAGCATTCTATGAAAGCTTCAAAGGAACACAACTTGCAATTCCAGTTTATTAGAAGTACAATGTGGTATTACAATTTATGCATATTTGATGATTTAGAAATGTTTTTAAAGCAATCCCAAGCAAGTGAGCTATCTAGTACATTAAAGAAGTAAGCGCTCATTTTCCTTGAAATTGTTCTCTGTTGAAGTCAGGTTGGGTTAGTAAAACTTTCAGTCCCTTGAAAATGTAAATATTCACTCTGCCTTAGTGATGAACAGGTAATCATGTAGTGCTCCGAACACCACAGGTACTAAACAAAGCCTAACAGATTAAAAGGTAGTCTCTTTTTCATCTTGCTTTATAAAAGTATTTAATGTACTATTTGAAGGTGGCAAAGCTACTCACCAGTACCATATGTGGTTGAAATGGCTGATGGATATCCTCCCATCCCTTGTCCTGGTAAAGTAGGAGTTGCTACAGAAACCACTGGGGTAGCCAATGACTGAGCAGACTGGGAGTTATTTATCCTTTGATTCTTTTAAAGTAAATAAAAAGACATTGGTGAAATTTTTAAAAAGTTAAAAATATTAGATTTCAGTGTTGGTTTTGCACATAAAGATATAACTTGGTACAAATCTCATGAAATTAATCATTTAACATGTGTCTCTATGAACTCTGCCAACCCTATCATTTACAATCTTTCAAGAGACCAGTTGTTACCATAGTAACCCATTACATCAGTATCTCCTAGGCAACTGAACTAGTAACAAGTACCATTGCTTTATTATGGGTAAAAACAGACTATGTTGAAAACTGATGAAATATGTATACAGTACTTCTATTGTTTCAGTTTTTATTCAAATGCAAATTAAAAAAAAATTAAAATCAACCACAGTGGTTCTATCCTCAGTTCTATATACAGCAGAGCAGACTGGTAGAGTTTCATGCTGTATTCTGACCAGAAGGTGGTGCTCTGTCCACTTTTTTCAGATTCTTCTAAACTTCCCTCAAACTAGATGGCAAAGCAGTTAACAAGTATATTTAACTCCTCACAGCAAGGAAATTTAAGATTCACATAAATTTAAAAATCATGAGAGAAATTTCTTTGAAAAAGAAGTATCTTCGTGGTTTTAAGTAACTAAGAAATTTCTTGGGTGCTAGAATTTTGCTATAAATTGAGTCCTAAAATACATTGAAGACATGGCCTTCATTTGCAGAGGTTGACACAGAAAAATAACCTGAACTTCAAATTAATGGAATTTAAATATAGTCAATATTGACACACTGATAATCTCCCAAACCCTCCCATTCTGCTAGAGCTACCACTCCACAGAGAGTCCTTGCCCTGCCGTGCTCTCGCCACTTACCAAAAGCAGGTCGACATCCTCAGACTGAGAGCATGGGGAAGGAGTTTAGAAATTAGCGTCGGTAACTATTTATGATTGGGCGAAATCTTTTCAACACGAGGACAAGCATCTTCTGATAGACACAACAGTTTAAACGCCTTACAACCTCCACTCCAAAGATAACTCCTGACAAAGACATTCTTTGTTTCCCTTAATGAGCTGTTTGTCTCGAATGTGAAGACGATCTATCCAGGTTTCAGCCTAGGTCAGTGTCTCAACATTCATTATTTCACTGTCGTGTTTTGGGGGAAAAAGATCGTCCTTTAAAATCCCACTTGCTCAAGGAGGGGGCACTGCACCTGGCCGCCAGTGAGAGCCCTGGCGGAGCACTCAGAGTCTCTGGGAAAGCAGCAGTTTTACAGGACTTGGACTAACTAACTGTGCGGGGAGACAGCCTGCCCCGCGCGGCCCACACTGCTTGGCTGTGGCCCTGTGGGAGGTTTTATTTATTAGACCTAGTCTTTTCCTAAGGGAATGTTACATATTATATGATTTTTTTTGGTTTATATTCAAAATTAATCTGCACTGTGCCATAATAAACTAATCAGCTTGCAGGACTGTTTTACCCTGAAGCTTGCCACAGAGCACAGAAAGAAAAAAAATGTGTTTGCAGAATGATCTAAATTTGTCTACTGAATCTTGATTTTTAAATGTTCTCACTCTCAAGCAAAGCTCATTTGGAGAGCACTGATGTAAGTCTCTTTGTTGCTGAATTTAGTCCCACAGTATTATCTTCACCTTAGACCTGCAGACGCAGGAAAAAGAAAAATGGGAGGCTGGGGATATTCTTCCTCTATTTCTGTTTCTCATTTAGTTATTTATTCTTACAAGCTCCACAACTTTCTTTTGATTTTGTAAAATACAACCTTTTTTCCCCAAAATGCCTAGGATTTTGAACAATTTGCTTTCTGACAGGTAACTATCTGCCTGAAGCACGTAGAGGGAAGGCGGGAAGATGGACTGATGCCATGCACAGGCATGTGATGTATTAAACATTATTGCTACAATACACCCAAGACTGCGATGCATTAAATTTTATTGCTGCAGCATACCTAAGAAAACAGTTGTCGATTAACAGGAGAAAGCTCATTTAGAAATTACAGAAAAGGTTTTTTCATTGCCAGCACTTTGAGGACACAAATAGTTCAATATTTTAAAAATCTGTTATGAAATGATATACCTCATCCTGTGAGTTTGATTCTACTATTGGCCAAATCACATGTCCCATAAGCAAAATAATAGGTAATTTTTTTCTAATTATTGTAAATTTGATGCCTTAAAAGGAAATGTTTTCTTTGTACCAGAACATAGTCCTATAGTGGAATTTCACTGGGATGTTGGTCCTTTTTTTATGTAGAAAAGGGAACGAGAACCAGTTACCAGAAATAATAGCCAAATACAAATAGGACTCCAGCAATAGCACTGATGTGTTAATTTTATGGAAGCACTTAAATAATTCATAGAGTCAGACAAATATAAAAACAGCAAAGACATACACAAAACATTATCAACATTGATTTAAAATGTAGTTATTCATTACCACTGATGGCATCGTATTCTTGCTGCCTGGTGGAATAAGAACTCGGAGATCTGGTTTACGGTTATTCATCCCTAAATTCATGGGGGGAGGAGACTTCGCTTGCATATTCTTGTTCAAGTTACCAGGTGAGACCAGCAGACCTGGCGAGTTTCGGGGGTTGCCATATCCATTCCCTGTTAGCAGAAAACAATGAAAGCACTCAAGGAAAAATCTAGACTCAAATACGTTTCTAGAGAACACACTACATGAGATTAGGGATGAACTGTAACAGCCTAAGACATATAATAACATACAATGAAAATCCACAGGACGACTGACTTAACTTCCATCTGAAGAGTAACTTAATCAGTTATTTAATATTTCTCTGAAGAAGATTAAAACCTTTTCATGAGAAGAGAGCTAATATCTATCAACTTACTCAGAAATCAACATACACCCTTTTTTTTCCCTATGAAAAAAATTCTGGAAGAAAGTCAGACAGTCATTCAAGGTCTAAGAAAAGCCCACAATTGGTCCTGCACTTTAATTGACTGGCTCTGCGGAGGCCTGGCTGGCATGACTCACTCTTTCAGTTCAATGGTTTGGGTTTTATTTTGTGTGTCTGTGTGTCCTGAAATGAAGAAAGGGCACAGCAGCAAGGCTGTAATTTCTAGGACATGTAGGAGTAGCCTCTTACACAGCTTGCTGTTCAGTTCCCTTTTTCTTTGAGCGATTTCTCCCCATGGTTTTCTTCTGTCTCTTTTGCCCTCCTCACCAAGTTCAGTGTACGAACCTGAAGGCTGGCTCTCCTGCTCACACAGAACTTCAAAACGCAGGACTCCTTCTCAGGAGCTAAAGGAGAGGATGACGCCTCCACTAAAATGCTGACTCACCAAAGCCGGGGAGTAGCCGTCTAACACGAACACAGAAAGGGTTTTCTTAGGTCTCTGATGTTTAGCTCCCTATTAACAGAAAATGGGTATCTGAAGGACTCCATTTCTCATCGCTTAAAATATACTTCCCCGTGAGAGGAAGAGCTCTGGATGGAGTTGGTACAACTTCAGGATAGGCAGAAAGTCACCTGTTGGCTTCCTCCACTGCCTGTGGTCAGGGACTACAATAATCCAACTATCTGATTCAACAATCCTTTCTGGAAACTAGACAGTTGTTTTCTGCAGCTCTCTGAAGGAGACAGTCAAACGGCCTTGTGATTGTCACCATTATCATTATTGTAACACACAAATATCTATTACCCCAGGACGAATGATACTGTGTGCTATCCAGTGAGGAAGCAAAGACTAGGCCCAAGTCCCTCGAAACCTTGCTATTGCTCTGTGTTAATCTGGTACAGACATGTGCAAAACGTACAAACTCATTCCAGGCCACCTAGGCTGAGGTGCCCACAGAGTAATCCAGATTAAGTGTTACTGAGTTTCCAAGAGGAAAGAGATTAATCAATAAGATTCACGTAAGAAGCAGGAACTGGTGTAGGTCTTGTAAAAAGAGAAGTGATAGTAAAATATGCTGGGCTTGTGATTAGGTGCTGGGAAAGGGCTGAGGTGGGAATTTCCAGAGCAGTTGGGGACACACCTGGTTAGAAGGGAACCATGAAAGAGAGGAATGCTGGGGACTCTGAAGGTACATAAAAGGCGAGGCTGTGGAGACCTTGAAGTCCAAGCTAACAGGATGGATTTAAATAGTGGAAATGCAGATCCGGGAAGACTGCAGAGCAGAGGAAACAGGCCTGCAGGTGGACAGAAAGGTGTCCGGGCATTGGGCATTACTTATGGCCCCGTAATTAGGAAGACCTGGCAGTGCAGGCCAGTCTGAGAACTGCTGGGACAGTCTGAGCTACAGGTGACGAAGAACTGGGAAGGCGAAGCTCGGGTACGTGTCAGGAAGTATTTATGGGAACAGCTTTTGAATTAGAATACGTATGAAGCACACGGCATGGAGCAGAGCTGTTCTTCACAGCCATTCACCTACCTGTCTCATTTTATGCACGAATAAACAGGCTGAATATGTAACAAATAACTACAAGATTAAATCTGTCAATTAGATTATGCATAAAAGGCTTGCACTACTGGGGAAAATGCCCCCAAATACAATAAACATAATACCCCCCCAAACATGCCTTGAGTACACAGTAGTTGTTTAAAAGCTGTTGGTTGAATTTGAATATATATTACTCTTCTATAATAAACTTGAAGAAAATTAACTAAATTTTCTACAGCTAGTTAAGTATGTCAAAATCCAAAATTTTCTTTTTAGTTAATCCGGACAGCTTTCCGTGGCAAAAGTTATATGAAACAAACACATGTACCTTTTATCAGCAAGAGAAGTACAAAGAACGTGTTCACAGAGAAATGCTTGGTAAAATGGAATGCTGAGAGGAGTTTTACATTTAACGTGACCTGCTGAATCATTGTCTGGAATATGTTGGGACTTTAGTACTTTTAACTAGTAGATTCCACTGGATACAAAGACAAAGAGCCAGCCACGACAGAATCTGCACTGTCCTTTTCTGTCAGCTGAAGTCCACAATGACACACAGAATACATATGCCACTTGTCTATTAAGTCTGGTGAGATCTGGTTTAAATAAACAATCAAATGGAAAATTAGCTGGGTAATTTCAAAAGAAGGGGGGGATGTCAGTTACGCAGTGCAGTGAAGCTTGAACAGACCAGAAGAAACTAAAACCCCGGCTTGGTAGACGCCGATACTGGTTTGCATGGAGGAGTTATTTTGCTAAAAGGAAGTAAAACTGCTCCGTGAAATGTGTTGTCCTGTGATAGGACAAGCACTTGGCCAGTTGTGCGAAAATGGAAATGCTTCACGGGGGCTCTGAGAAAAGGTCGTGCTTTTTTTTTTAAGAAAACATTTTCTACAGTAAACTCTGAGAAATCCCAAAGCCTACATTTTAAAAGATAATTTGGGGCAGCAGCAGGGACAAAAGCCCCGACTAAATACACATTTTAGTTTTTAATCCAATAAATGCCTCATAATTAAAAACACTGATTTGAAAAGGATTCTGTTTTCCTCCTGGGATATTTCTTGTTATTTGGAAATTATGTCATTTTAGAAGATTACTCTTATTTTAAGGTGTTTACGTATTGAATATAAAGTATTTTGAACCATGATGACAGTTCTTAAATTCATATTTTTAGAGCATAAAGTTATTTTTAAGAACAAATAAATTCTGCCTTTTACTGGCGAATTCCTGCTCTTTTGAGCATATTGTGCCAGCTAGCATTTTGGAGCCGTATAATAACCATTTCTGTTTCCAGCCACCAAGTTGTTATTCTTCTGGCATAATATAGATTCAGAAATGCAAGACTGTGGATCCTAAACCAGTGATATAGAAACCTATCATTTCAAAATCAATGATGAATACATGCGTGTGGTTTGCTGCTAAGAAGAGCCTGCATTTAAACCAGCTCGGAAACCGCAGCCTCCTCCTCACTCAGAACGCTGCGGCCCGAGTTGCCTTCCCATAGGGTGAATTCACCGAAGAGAAAAAGCTCGTTCCAAGCCAGGGGTCAGGGGGGTGGAAAACACCACCTCTCAATAACCTTCTCATACACAGAGTCGACTTTTCTTCCCACTATGTTTTAAAAGGACCCTCTGCCTGAACAATGATCAATTTGGATGTGACCGTTTGCAGATGCCACATTCCCGAACCACTTAAAAGCACAAAAATTATAAAGCATGAGTGAATGGATTTCCTGATTATAGATTATGAGAAAATGAAGAACAGACCGACTTGAGAGTAAGATCGTTTTATAGTTCATTTGATTGAAAATATTGTTTCACATAACAAAACAATTTAAGCATTCACAATATAATTTATATGAAGGATATGAGAATCTACCTTCGTTGGTTACAAGTTTCTAAACACTCACGTTAAAACTCGTGTAAATATACAGAACTTGAAATGTAGTGTTAGGAGAAAAAATTTTTTCTCTCCAGTTAACTTGAAAACACTTGCTGCTTTTCTTTCTTTCCTTTTTTTTTTTAAATTGACTCCTATTTTAAGAAGTTGTAAATTCAAAGAACATATTCCTGGCATAAGTTGTAGTGAGGAGGACATTTTGCCTTGTCTCACAGAGCCCAATTGAGCGTGTAGCTCTCTTTGAGCCCAAAGCTCTCAAATTTTCTCTTATTTGGATATTTAGACATTATGAGTCTTTTCACTAGATTTTTCCCCTTTTCTGGGACTTTTAGTTACAAATACAAGCATACAAAATTAATAAGCACAAAACAGAAACTAGTCCTTATGGATCAAGGCTAATGTTTTTCATGGGCAAAATCTTTTTTTCAGTGTGTCAAATTGTCATGTTGACTATTTCCTCTCCCTCTTCCAACTCCAATCAGATACCAAATATTAATTTTTTAAAAAGAAGGACTCTCTCCATCTCTGGTGCCACCATCTTGGTTGAGGCTTTCTTGACTGTTTGACTAGGTCTTTCAATAACCCCCATGCAGACCCCTGGTCTATAATCAAGATGGGCTTCAGGAAGGCAGTGAGCTCCTAAGCCATATGCAAGCTATGTGCACATGTGTGATGATATTAAGTCTGATGTACAGTCTCAACTCATGCCAGGGGATCTTTTTAAAATTCTGCTCACATCGTGTTCTTGTTCAGATCATACTTAATACTGTTGGGACAGTGTCCTGGGTGGCTGTCAGGGCTGTGCAGAGTTCACCCATTCTATCATCTATCTATCTATCTATCTATCTATCTATCTATCTATCTATCTATCCATCCATCCACACATTCACCCACCCACCCATCCATCCTAATTTCCGATGGCCACAGCCAAACACACAGTCTTCTGAAAATGTCTCAGTCCTTGTTCAACAGTTTCACAACCTGTGTCTGCCTTCCTGTTTGATGCAAATTCATTTTTTTAAAAGAATCAGCTAATGTTCCAACTGTTTCATGATGCCTTTCAGACAATTTCAGTCCACCTTGAACTCACTAGCCTCTAAAATCCTGCTGCAGAGGCAGTGATACCATCTAGAGTATTAGTTTTTTAAGTGTTTCAAATTCTCACAAAATGGATATACAAAGTATGCTGAAAAATTAAAATTACTCAGGAATGGCACAAAAAGTTGTTCCTGAAGGAAGTGAGATGGCAACTGGAAACGTACAGAGTAACATGCTAACTCCAAACATTGAGGGACTCTCC